AAGAAACAATTTCTTAGAGATCCATTTAACTTAAGGATAACCTGGACCCATTTTTAAAACACCACCACACCTCCAACAAAATAGTTGCACAAAGTAAAATGGTTAGTACAAAGACCCTATACTAACCCCTTATCCATATCTGATTCACAGATATACTCCAAAGCAACACGTCCATCCACTGAGCCAACCACAAACCCTGCATCATGGCATACTCCACTTAATACCTGACAAAATCAACTACTTTTGGGGAAATTTCCTGCAGTAGCCCTCAGGTTTTTAATATTTTTCAAAATGACAAAAGGGGTTACCTCAGGATATTTCACAGGACAACCACAAGATGCTTTAAAGGGTACTTTTGTATAGCTAGAGCTATTTTGAAAAGCGTGCATGGAAGAGGGTCATTTTCAGAAATACCGAAGTGTCATTTACTTTAATTTTCCAATACACGTTAGTCAGATGCAAAAGGTCATATGGTGATCAGAAATTCTTAAGTCAACTCGATGTTCAAACTTCATCTGTCCTGCTACAGAACAATATGTACATGACATACTTTTGATAGCCAAACTAACGTACAATACATGATTAGCCTGACTATCTAAGACTACCAAACTAACTACCTCAATGACCAGTCACTCACGCAGACACACTATTTTGTATGTCAACATTTAAAAAGTCTTACTTGTCTAGACAGTACTAGATTAATGCCACAATACCTTCAGAACTAAGAATATTGCGGACACATTTTATTTTGACATCTTTTCGGTGAACCAGTTTCCTAAGGGTGCGAAGATCATAAATGATTACAGATGAATCAATAGCAACCATCAAACTGGAGTCAGAGAGTGTCATAGACTCTGCCTCTGATGTTAGATTGTTCAAGCATCCTACAGATTTCGCCGTCCGTGCATCCCAGAAGAGTATGTTCCTATCCCAACCAGCAGTAATTAACTGACCTACATGAAGCAACGACCAAACACACCAAAATAGTGTAAACGTAAGTTCTATTAGAACTGTAATGTATCAGTACCATGTACACGCGAGCTCATAAGTGGTGAAGGCGTACATGTTTCAGGAGAAAACTCAACAAAAGTTGCCATATTGTCATGATTCCCTATTGCAGATTTATGTCCTGAATGCATATCATACCTATCAATTTGCCATTACAAACAAGACATCGACTATATCATTTCCATAGTTCGACACAATCAAATAACTGAATTATCGATTGCAAGATATGTGTTTTTTTAAAAAACACAAGTGTTCACTCATCTGAGGCTCATTTGGACCACAATATACATGTAATAGCCGAGTTCAACTAATTGAGTACTTTTTGAGGGAATAGATAATTTAGTATAAACCTGTGAACAGAACCATCAGAAGCTGCACTAAAAGCCACGGAATCACTTTGAAAACAACAATCCAGAAGTGCGGCTTCCCCTGGCGATTCTAGTATTAGCTCAGAGCGTTGAATGTCGTACAAGCGGAGTTTCTACAGGCATTAGAACCATAAAAATGTAATCGCATATGAGTTGCAGCATTCACGGGTGCACGCAGATATTCTTTAAAATGATGATTATTACTTACGCAGTCCCAGGAAGAAATGAGGAGATTGTTGGAATGTGGGGAGAATCGGATCCTGGAAATGGCGTCTCGTATTGGGGTTCTAAGGCTTAGAGGAATCGCGTCCATGGCTGTAGATGACTTTCAAGCAATCCAAGTGGAATGAGTATGAGCCCTAAATTTGGGGCGGGAAAATTAGAAATCACTTGCACAGTTCAAAATCTTGCGGAGTATGAGTGAAAAAAATACGGAGTACTCGGTAATTCCTATTTCCTTTTTTCCTAAGATATTTTCTTTTTGGATTGTTTTTCAGTCCAGACCACACCAGACCGGATTAGATCAGATTAGATCAAAACAGATCAGACCAGTTCAGATCAGATCAAACCAAATCATACCAGACCAGACCAACAAATTTCAATCGAAAAGAAAACATCCATAATTACAATCATATATTTTAATTCCATTTTTTTTAATTTCGGTCCAAGTCAAAGCCATTTTTTTGGACGGAGGGAGTACAATGTATAAGGGCTTATAGCATTTTTTACTTAAATATTTATTCCATTTGTTTTAAAAATTTATTGAATCTATTTCTGTCCCGGACCAAATCAGACTAAGCTTAAATAGACTATACCAAATCAAACTTTGACAGTTGTAAAATACGCAATGACAAGTAAATATATCAGACCAGACTAAATCAGACTGAAAATTTCACTTCAAGTAAAGACATCTTTAATGCTCTATACCCCTCATGATATACAAATTCTAAAGCTGGCATTTTGAACTGAAAAAAACCAAAAACGGACCCGAAAAAAACGAACTGACAAAGAAAAAAATTGAACCGAACCGATCCAAAAAAGTTGGGACCCGAAAATTGGTAACCGAGATCTACCTCGGTTCGTTACCGGTTCTTGAAATTCAAAAGGTCGGTTCAACCGAACCGAACCGGTTTTATATAATATAATTAAAATTATTATTTTTTATTAACATTTTCCCAATTAAAGCCCAAATCCCTATATTTAAAAGGCTAAAGGGTCAAATAGGTACATGAACTAACTTAAAGTGTTCAATTAGCCCCTTTTATAGGAGGTTCTGCCCGGCCGTCGCCAATTGGGGCGTTTCCCGGTGGAATTTTTTGATGAAATTTTTTGAGCATCTTCTTCATTAAGTCTAGTTTATCCATACCAAATTTCAGCTAAAAATTCAACCGGGAAGGCAGTAAAATGATTTTTTGAAGATAACTGCGCAGGTAAACAACGCAGTACATTTTGGAAAATCATTTGACTGCCTTCCCGATTTAATTTTTAGCTGAAATTTGATATGAGTAAACTAGACTTAATGAAGAAGATGCTCAAAAATTTTCATCAAAAAAATCCACCGGGAACCGCCCCAATTGGCGACGGCCGGGCAGAACCTCCTATATAAGGGGCTAATTGAACACTTTAAGTTAGTTCATGTACCTATTTGACCCTTTAGCCTATTTAAAATACATGATCTAGCCAAAGTTTTACACTAACGTATGAATGTGTAGATGAAAGCAGTGTAATGCGTTGTTGCCTTGCTAATTTTTTATGGCAAAATTGTAACATTAAGAGCATCTCTTAGGTAATAAAAAATAATCATGAATATTAAGACTCTTAATTTCCATGATTATTTTTAAGGACTACAAGTTTTAAATTTAATTACAAGCAACTTTGACTTGTAATTGCTTTTATATCTCCGTGTGATTTTCCTTTTTGTAATGCTTGTTTATTTTGGATGATCCATGGTTTAATTTATGAATTTCATTTTAGTTCCATTTTGTCGGTTTTGGATCCAAAACCGAACCGAAAAATTGGTTCCCAAACAATCTGGTCACAATCTATTTTCGGTTCAGGCTCGATTTTCATTTTCAAGAGAACCGAAATGTCGGTTCGATTTCGATTTTTGCAATTTCGATTCAGGTCCCAAACCGCATTCAGCCCTATTAAATTTCGTGCATTATCCGTGTGATATAAAAAATACGTCCAGTCTCTCTGTGTTATAATTATTTTAAGCAAAACCTTCTGTATGAAAAAAATTAATTGCCAAATAAAACAAAGAAGATTAGTATTTTGTATAATTTAGAGATTTTGGCAAGTTTACTAGTATAATTAATCATCATAATATTGAGATAAGTGACTTTCAAATTATTAAATTTATTCTTGGCGAGGATTTTGCGCATGATTAATTATAATGCACGGGATTTGATGCATTTTTTAATCACAATGTTCTAATGCGCATAATTTATAGAAACAATTACATGTGCGCGGACCCAAGAAATTTATATTGGGAGGCCATAGATTCACTGGTGTATCAAGAAAATTTTCTCATTGGTGGTCAACTTAGACTAAAACTTAGTCACATATTTCAAAAATAGTAAATCACATTATTAATGTTGTTTTATTCAACGTAATTTAAGTTACAAGATAAGATGATAAGTTGGCTAAAACTTGAGCGTGATGTTTCTTTCTCATAAGTAGTGCTTTTAGGTATAAAAAGATAATTGAGCTAAATCTTGAGCCAAAGATTCATTATTTTTGGGCTTGAGAATATGATGGAATAAAACAAAATGGCTCACTAAACTGTCTGCGATTCTTTGTTATGAAGCAGCAGTCAGTCCATGCAATTTTGGACGCCATTTTCACTACGGGTCATCCGGAAACAGTCTCTCTGTGCTTGTACAGGAGTAAGACTGCGTATATCCGACCTCCCTTACCCCACCATAGGTAAATGAAAATGAAAATGATATGTAGTGATTTTAGTTATAGGATAAACCGACTAAAACTTGAGCGGATTTTTTTTGTCTCTCATACATTGTGATTTTAGGTATAATAAGAAGATAGCCGACTGACAATTGAATGGGAGAATTTTGACTCTCATATGTTGTGCTTTTAGATATAAGATAAGCCGACTAAAATATGAATGAGAAAAATTTCTCTCTCATACATAGTGCTTTTCGGTAAAAGATAAGTCGACTGAAACTTGAGCAGGAGAATCCCCCCCCATACGTAGTGTTTTTAGATATAAGAAGATAAGCCAACTAATAATTGAACGCGATAATTTTCTCTCTCATATGTAATGGTTTTAAGTATAAGAAGATAAGTCGACTAACAATTGAGTGGAAATTTTTTAACTCCCATAGTACTTTAAAACCGGTGAACAATTGTGTTGGATGATTTTTTCTCTCATACTAGTACAGTACCCGTGCATACGCACGGGAAATAATCGATGGATATATTTGCAATCAAGATCTAATTAATTAGAAAAGGAAATAATTTCAAAAAACTGCATTTCTTCTTAAAAGCAAGTACACCATCTCAATATCATAAAGTATAAGTTAATAAAATAATTATTAAATAAAATATTGAACTTACGTGTTAGAGATTTTGGAAAACCTCTTTGAATACAACATTTGTAGTAGTGTCTAATGATTTTCCATCCTTATCATGTATTAAAATCTTCAATCCATGTTTGCTCTGAACTCTTGACAATGCCACATACAATTGTCCATGACTAAAAACAGGTCTAGGCAAGTATAATCCAACTCTTTCCAGTGACTGTCCTTGAGATTTATTGATTGTCATCGCATATGAGACCATTATAGGAAATTGTCTTCTGATAAGTTTAAAAGGCCATGGTGATTGAGATGGAGACATACACATTCGAGGTATGTAAATCTCATCTCCACCATTGCCTTCAGACATGATTCTTGCTCCAATGACATGATTTCCCAGTCTTGTGACAATCAATCTAGTTCCATTACATAGTCCTTCTGACTGGTCTATATTTCTTAGCAACATTACTGGAGTCCCAACCTTAAGTCGTATGTTGTGATTTGGGAGACCTGATGTTCTCAAGGAATTGAGAAACTCTGGTGTCAACGCTTCAAATGCTTCTGCTTCAACTACATCCGACTTGTCTACAGAATCGCAACTTAAATATTCTCTTTCTTCACCTGTAGTTGTAAAAGTTCGGTAGTCTTAATTTAATTATTAATTTTTTTTAAGAATTTATTTTGTAAGTAAATAAGGAAAGTAGCATTTTTATAATATTACCTGGGAGCGTTGAAAGAACATAGTCGTTAATTTTATCGACAATTTCAACAGTTGATGCCAAGACAGCTCTAGACTTGAGAAATTCCTCATTTCTGTATTGCTCCAGCAAGTTCGGATACGTGCTACGGACTATTGCATCTATTGGATCATCAAATTCTTTAATCAAGAATTCATCTGGAATCTGTATTTCTGCATAACCATCATTTGGCTCTGATATTTTTCCATCTCCCACATCCAATATCCATTTTGAAAATTCTTTGAGCTCAGTAGCACTTGTCATATCCAAATTATTTTGGAGTCGCATATTTTTAGTAAGAGACAATACCTATCAATAAACAAAAAAATTAAATACTTATATTTGAGTATAACTTATAAAGTAATTACTAAAAAACTTATAAAGTGATTATTTCAAATAGTTAAAAATTAATATAATTACTTGCACTTTATTTAAACTAACAGTGAATGAATGAACAAATTTTTAAAGTTTTTCAAGTTAGTTATTTTTATATATTGTGGTAAAATGAATTTGTAAATTATAGTAATAGTAAACATATTGGTTATGGTACTAAAAATGGAGTTATTACCTGACAGTCATCCCATAGATATGAAGAATTGATTGTAGCATTAATAATGTCTGAACGGCTTCCTCCAGGAATAACTGGTAAAGTTTGTCTGAAGTCTCCTCCAAAGACAATCACTCTTCCTCCGAATGGTGAAATAGAATCACCATCATTGTTGATGATGTCATTTAGGCTTCTGTCTAGTGCTTCAAAACAAAATCTATTAGCCATTGTTGCTTCATCCCAAATTATCAACTTAGTCTGTTTTAAAAGCTCTGCAAGTTCACTCCCTTGATGTATATTGCATGTAGAGTTCTCTAGAGTAGGAACCGGGATTGAAAATTTAGAGTGTGCAGTTCTACCGCCAGGTAAGAGTAGAGAAGCAATACCACTGGATGCGACAGTTAAAACAATATGACGCTGAGAACGTAAGGCAGAAGCTAATGTCCTCCACATAAAGGTTTTCCCTGTACCACCATAACCATATAAAAAGTATACCCCTCCTTTTTGGTTAGTCACAGCTTCCATTATTGTGTCAAATATGCCTTTCTGTTCATCTGCAATATTAGCACCAAAAATATGAATGAAATCAATTTTCTCCAAACACTGGAAAGCATTTAATATGACTTATAAATGATATGAATGGTAGTTGTCTTACCATATAATATTATGAGATAACAACTTATAAGATAACTAATTCATAAAAGAGGATCTAAAATGACCAAAAAAGTAAGTGTGATATATTTGGGCATTAAAAAAATTAAGTGGAAGAGTAGATTTCAAATAAATACATTTAGAAAATCCTCTTAAAAGTAATAATTCTAGAAAATAACAGTGTTTCAAATAGAGTAGAATGTTATATTATTAGTGTATTAATATGTTTAAAATAATTGAGATTCATTTAAACCTCTGTAAGGCCATTGATATCAGAAAGACTCATAACACTGGCTTTATAGGTTAGCTTGTCTTGCTCAGTAAATTTTGAATTTGAGAGTTGACTCTGACTCTGACTGGGTCCTTCGTTTGCTTGAACTGAGCAATAGCTGCGATTATTCCAAACATGGATTAAATATTTGACAATGAAAATATAAAAAATGAAGCACATGTACTAAAAAATTATAAGTCTGATAACACCAATAAGCACAATGAACCTGTCTTTGAATTTCTGGATATCCACAATGTCCTCATTAATGAGCAATTTAGATCCGAACTTACTATTTTGAATGAACATGGGATTTTTTCCTAACAGTACATGTCAAGAAATTAAATAAATCATAACATCATTAATATAATAATATAATATGGTATGGTATGGTATGGTATGGTATGGTATGGTATGGTATGGTATGGTATGGTATGGTATGGTATGGTATGGTATGGTATGGTATGGTATGGTATGGTATGGTATGGTATGGTATGGTATGGTATGGTATGGTATGGTATGGTATGGTATGGTATGGTATGATATGATATGATATGATATGATATGATATGATATGATATGATATGATATGATATGATATGATATGATATGATATGATATGATATGATATGATATGATATGATATGATATGATATGATATGATATGATATGATATGATATGATATGATATGATATGATATGATATGATATGATATGATATGATATGATATGATATGATATGATATGATATGATATAATATAATATAATATAATATAATATAATATAATATAATATAATATAATATAATATAATATAATATAATATAATATAATATAATATAATATAATATAATATAATATAATATAATATAATATAATATAATATAACATAATATAATATAATATAATATAATACACTATAATATAATATAATATAATACAATACAATATAATATAATAATTCGAGTTTACCTTCGGGTTCTTTGATTTTTGCCTGTGTCAATATGACAACAATTAGCTCAGATTTATGATTCTCATGAAACTCCAAGAACTTCGAAGCATAGTCTTGCCATAAAGTGCACATGATCATATCACCACTACATTATACCATAATACATCTAATTAATTAATGAAGAAATATTTTCAAGTTCTAAAGATTATTATTGCAGTAGGGAAAATAACAACAGTGGATGACATCACCTGAGATCTTTCATCCAAAATGATGCTTTTTTCAACGGAGCACTATTGTCAGAACGCACAATATCATGGAAAGCTCCAATCACATCTATTTGTTGAAAAAAGTCAAGTGTTATAGTTAGATGGTTATGTTTACTTATTTATTATGCAGTAAAAAAAAATAGACGTGTAATTTGACATAAACACTTACCAACCAAAACATCAGTACGGAGATTACCACTTAATATCTCACTGAAGTTTTTAAAGCTATAGTAATCTTTGGGTATATCAGCTAGTTCTTGATGTTTGCATGTTGTGCCACTTGTGATCTGGAGCTTGAATGGATGATCACATGCCTTGAACTCTCCTTCATTGCACAGTACTTTGAAGTTTTGCATCACATATGTTTCATTTTCTTTGACCTTCGGCTTCCAGGTTAGCACCTCTGCATTTCTTGCTACCGCCTGTATCTTATATCTCTAATTTATGAGAAGTGTTAAGAAGTTACTAATGACATTTAAATGTTAGAGCAATTTATCTCATTTAAGCATTTTAAAAAAGATAATCAGACCTTTGCGTCCATTAGAATCATTTCAATGAACTTTGAGGGAGTCTGGACAGAACAAAGTGAGATGACTCTGACTGCAATCTTCCATGTCTCTTTGCTGTCATTGATCTCTTCAATTGCATTTATTTTACGTGCCATATTGATGGGACTAATGAACATGTATAACAAAACGGAATAGGTTAAACACAAAGAATCATATTAGGCCAAACATATTGACTATAAGTAGTTCTCTATTTAGAAATATGATACTCCCTCCGTCCCATTGACTTAGCCAAACTTGATTTCTCATAGTTCAATAAAAAGAATTCCTCTGGTTTTAAAAACAGTGCTGGAAATTTTAAAAGTGTAACTTTACACCAATAGTCTTTGGTTTAAGATTCTTGAGCACAAAAGTCATTACTAAAAGAAAAGGACAATAAGAAAGGTGCCAAAGGAGCATATATTAGAGGAATATAAATGTGAAAAGTATAAGCTTCTAAGAAGACATGAGCTGGATGGTATTTACAAAGATCCACGACTCCACATATGCCTAGAGTAATTGATTTCTCAAACTTCTATTTACTACCTAAGAGAACAATAGGCTAAAAAAGAAAGACTATATTAGGACATGTAATGCCTCTTAAAAGAGAATTTCACGGCGGCCACATTAGCAGTAAGAAAACTCATGAATCAAGCAAGTGATATCACCTCTATGTTGTAAAAAAGAATTCAAAACAGGAAAGATAGCAACTGAGGTAGCAACTGTAATTACATCACTAACAGGGACACAATCAACATTAGCAGGGGCACAAGGGATTAAAAGAGCAGCAAGAACATTAGGGACACCAGTAGTCTCATGTTCAGGGGCACTCACTGTTCCTCCAGCTGTAACAGAGGCATCCTGGGGTCCCATTACAGCAAAGTAAGGGGCATCATCAACATTTTCAGTACTGTTTTGGCATCATCATCAATAGCAACACTTACAGAAGCACGTACATCAATAACAGAATGATCAGCGGCAGTAGGAACGTCAAGAACATCATGAAATGATGCATATCATACTCAGACGCTCACATGTTACAATTAATAATAATAACAATACTTAAATTGAGAGCGTAAAAGTAAAAACTCACTTAAACGTTTCATGGAACACCTTATATGCTGAAAAGTAAAAGTCAAAACTTTGTTTAATGCTACTAACAAAAAGAAACAGACTTTAAAAAACAGATTAAAAAAGGCCAAAAGATAATACGGAACAAAAAACAAAGCACAATCAAAAAAGTTTGTAGCAACATGTGGTTTGAAAAAAATCTTTGGAGTTAGGGAAGGTCTAAAAGATGCAGGGGTGACAACAAAATAAAAAATAAAAAAAAATGCTTCATTTGCAAGCACCATTCACAGAGAATCGAAAAATACAGACTGGAAGAAATAGAGGGTACCTCTGCTACTTGGGCACGGAAGGATTTGTGTTCGCAAACCTGGGTTGATGTGGATGAAATCTACACCGACACACATGTAAAAATGGGTTTGGACAAAATAAGCATTTTAGAATTACATAGAATCGAGAAATATAGAAGACGAAGAATTACAAAATACCTCGTCTACTCGTGCGGCGAGAGTATGAACCCTAATGTCGATCTTCATCAGTATATATAGTGACGATATTATTTGGAGTCTCCTAGATTCGGTGAGGAGCTGTGTGCGCTAATCTCGCTACTGAAGAATTCTAAATTGGGGGAAATTGGCAGATTAACAATTGTATGAAGCTATAGCCAGGGAGAGAGGTGAGAAAAGTTCGGCGAGAAATCGGTGAGGCCGCGGAGAAGATGGAAACGGCTGTTTAATTTAGTTTGTTCTTACGCTGAGGTGAGGGGAGAAAAAGAAGAAGCTGTAAGCGTTTTTTTATTTTTAAAAGGGGTGTGTGGAAAAATAAAAGAAGCGTAGAGTTAGCCACGTGGCATTTGAATAGCGAAGGAGAAAAACGTGGGCTGAGCTACACGTAGGATTAATGAAGGGTAGACATGTAATTTTATGAGCTATCTCTTTTCATATATATAAATAGATGTAGCACTTTTAGGTATAAGAAGAAGATAAATCGGCTAACAATTGAGCGGATAATTTTTTCTCTCATATGTAACACTTTTAGGTATAAGAAGATAAAAAGATAAGAAGACCAGCCGGCTAACAATTGATGGGGAAGAATTCGCTCTCTCATACATGGTGATTTTAGATATAATCAAATAAAATAAGTCGGCTAAAAATTGAGTGGAGAAGTTCTCTCTCTCATACGCTGTGATTTTAGGCATAAGATAAGTCGGTTAACAACTGAACGGATGGATTTTCTCTCTCATACGTAGTGATTTTATGTATAAGAAGATAAGTCGACTAAAACTTGAGCAGGCGAATGCTCTCTCTCGTACGCAGTGCTTTTAAATTTAGAATTTTTCTCTCATACATAGTTCTTTAGTTTATATATACGATAAGATAACATGACTAAAACTTTAGCGGGGGAATTTTGTCTCTCGTGCGTAGTGTTGGGTGTGTTTCGGAAAATAAAGAAAATTAATTAAAATAAATTAATTAAAATAAAATGACTAGCGAAAAACAAGAAAGGAGATGAAGCAGAATTAGTCAAAGCTCGTGCTACGCACGATGTCCTTAAAACGTATTTGTTGCCTCCCACGGTGCTAGGAGCGTTGCAACAATCGTTTCCCAGGATACGATGACTACGAACTAATGTTTGAGCACACAAACAAGAGTTCCAGCGAACGAGAACACAGTATGAACACAGAAGGAATTTGCAGATTGCTAGCAGTGTGTTTTTAGAGCTAAAACGTGTATGGATTTGTGTAAAATCGTGTGTTGTAGCAAACCACCTGCCAGCCATTATATAGGAGGATTTGTTGTGTGTAAATGGTGAATTAATGGACCTGAACGTTGGACATCAATGACCAGTCCGTTGGGCATTGAATCGTCCATGAACTGTCTATTTAACGCTGCATTAAAGGATATAAACGTGGGGCATTTATTGCTACCAGAGACCGACGTGTTCTGATGCCACCAGAGACTGAGGTATTCTGATCGAGGCCATCAGAGACCGAGGTATTCTGATCGAGGCCATCAGAGACCGAGGTGTTCTGATGCCACCAGAGGCCGAGGTCTTCTGCTAGGCACTTTTGTCAACCGGGAAAAATAAACGTTTCGGGAAGAAAACAAAAATTATCCGTATCTCTTGAGAGATAGATTTTTGGACGACATTCGTGTCCGCAGGTCGCCCGCGCACGCAAGTCGCAGTTTTTCTTCTCCGAATTCGGGATTTGATTTGCACCCCCCCCCCCTGCGCGCGTGGAGAGAGCCTTTACCCTTAGGAATCTTAACTCCTTAAGGGGAGAGTCCCTTTATAAAGGGTTGCAAATCCCTTGGGTTTTCCGGTGTGGGAAATTAACACACTAAAAACCCATCCTTTTTCCCAGTTTTTCCATTCTAACGGGTAAACTTCGAAAAGCGATTTCTCATTCACCCGTTATCCGTTTTGAGCGTACCATATATCGAATTGTAGCCCTTAACAAGGACAATCCGAAACCACTTTGACCCGACCCAAATCGGAAGTGGACCCCACTCAGAAAATTGCCCCAAAATAGCCATTTAATGCAATTTTTCACACATTTTTCCAACAATCCCCCACATGAATGAAAATTGATTTTCGAGACTTATAAAAAGACACGAAGATAGGAGGACACGTTGTGTTCACCGGATGATCCTTGTATACGGAGAGGTAGGTTTAATCCTTTGAACCTTCCGCTGTAAAGACTCGTTTATTTACTGGCTGTCTAGTAGACTCGATGTCTTTGAACTATACTGCCGGCGTGTAAACATTGACTTATCTTTACACAAGAACCTTCCAACTTTGTTCCGTTCTCATGGGTGTGCCCGTTTTGGCCATGGGTCACCGTCCTGGTTCTGCAAGAGTTTCTAAAGAACTGAGCCATTACAGTTCTCCTTTGAAGCGGCCCTCTTCTCTCTCACATAGGTGATTCTTTCACGAGTATCCCGCATACTCTTCCAATGTTATCGAGTAGATCAACATTTTAGAATCATTAAAGCAAACGTTTTTGCTAACCTCGTGCGGGAGTCACTGTTTCAACGAGGAGTGGGTAGGAGTCCGGGACCCCCACAGTGACCATCCTTCGCTCTATAATTTGGTTGTCCCATTTGAACCTAGGACCAACTAGGTTGGGTATCCACTATAGAACTTTTCAATTCACGGGCTTTAATCCCATTCCTCGCATCAACTTCTCCAACAATTCTCTATCCAATGCCTTGGTTAGCGGATCCGCTATGTTATCCTTTGACTTCACGTAGTCAACAGTGATAACACCCGTTGTGAGAAGTTGTTTAATGGTATTATGTCTACGACGGACGTGTCTAGACTTACCATTATAGAGATTGCTCTGTGCCCTTCCAATTGCCGCTTGACAATCGCAATGTATGCATATTGGAGGGACAGGCTTCTCCCAACTTGGAATATCCTCGAGAAAATGGTGTAGCCATTCAGCCTCTTCAGTGCACTTATCCAAGGCTATTAGCTCAGATTCCATCGTGGATCTAGCTATTAACGTTTGTTTCGAGGATTTCCACGACACGGCTGCACCTCCCAAAGTGAAAACATATCCACTTGTGGACTTTGAGTCCTTAATGTCAGATATCCAACTAGCGTCGCTATACCCTTCAAGTACAGTTGGATATCTTCCGTAGTGCAGTCCAAGGTTTTGGGTTTTCCGTTGTTAGAATATACATATTTAATGTTAGAATATACATATTTAATAGTCAATATATTCTATGTATATATTTGGTAGCTAATATATTCTCTGCGATAGACTAAATATTCTATGTAAATCTGGCAGATTTAGTTTCCTTTTGTATTCTCTAGCCTGTATGTATATATACTGGCTCTACCCAATGAATAAAAAAAATGTGATTTCATTCCATCTTTTATCCCTATTACTCAGTTTACATGGTATCAGAGCCACACAGGTTTTTCGGGTAGTACTTCCCGAAGTTCGACTCTGTTCCCTCCCTCTGGTTCGATTCAGCCTTCTTTTGTGCAGGACGTTTCTTGCACTTCGCAGGTCTGATTTTCTTTTCTGGACACAATCTGCACCGCATCTCTTGTTATCACTCTTGGCCTAGTTGTTTGCAAGCATGGGTGATGATAAGAAGAGTGTGACTGAAATTACGGTCGGTAATGCTAGAATTACCGAGAGAAAACTGACTGGTTGTAAAGATTACGGGCAGTGGAAACGGACTATTACCAGGTATGTTAATAGTCTTGATCTGGGAGATCATCTAAGTGAAATGGCTCCTCCACGAAGTCATCCTGATGAAAGAAAGAAATGGATGATGGCCGATGATAGGTTGTTCAATCAAATTCAGAATACCCTGGATCCTTCTATTGATAGTATCATTACTCACTGTGATACTGTCAAAGAAATGTGGGAATACTTGGAGTCTATGTATGCTAGTAAACAAGATCTCTCTTATGTTCATCAATTACTGATGCACTACTATAGACCAGAGATGAAGGACCAGACGTTGTTTCAATACTACAATGAATGTAAACAGATTTTTGAAGAAAAGCGGTCCCGATTCCCTATTACTGCTGATGTTAAGAGTATGCAAGAACAAGAGGAGCGAACATTTGTTCATGGTGTTTTGGCTGGGCTTGGTCCACAATATGAGGTATCAAGGAGTCAAATACTATCTGGTGGGACCCTTCCTAGTTTTTCTGACCTCTATGGACGTCTCCTTCCAGTGTGCAAAGATGGAGAATCCAGAATGATGAACTCGATTGATACTGCTGCCTTAGTCAGTGATGTGAGCCGTGGTAAAAGGACCAATTCAGTCACTACTGAGGGGACTCATAATTCTTCTCGCACATGTTATCACTGTGGAGCTGAGGGTCATGTGAAGAAGAATTGCTGGAAATTACATGGTCATCCACAGGCGTCTGGACAGTTTCCTCCCAGGCGTGTTGCTAATACGGCTATCCAGGATGGTATCCTACCAACTCCTTCCACCTTTACTATCTCAGCCGATGAATATGCTCGGCTACTACAACTTTCTCTCACAGCCTCATCTGCCAGACCACAAGTTGATACAGGTAATCCTGCTGCATGCCTCTCTACATCATCACGCAATTGGGTGATCGATTCTGGCGCAACGGATCATATGACTGGTAATGAAAATATTTTGTCTTCATTTACCTCTTCTGCTAACCAGTCTCATGTTACTTTAGCAAATGGATCAACCACATCTGTCAATGGCCTCAGAACAGCAACTCTTTCTCCAAACATTTCTCTATCTTCTGTTTTATATTTATCTCAATTTCCATTTAATCTAATCTCAGTCAGTCAGATTACTAAAGCCCTAAACTGCTGTGTTATTTTCTTTCCCACCCATTGTCTTTTTCAGGATCTTGGGACGAAGCAGATTATTGGTAAAGGCAGACTGGTTAATGGCTTATATGTTTTTGAATCCTTGGTACCAAGATCAGTTGCATGCACAAGTTCGTCTTTGTTGAAAGTTCACTGTCAATTTGGTCATCCATCACTTTCTGTACTACAAAAAATGTGTCCTAGTCTGTCACGGGAGTCTGTTTTGGAGTGTGAAGCATGTCAGTTTGCTAAGCATCACAGAACAACTTTCCGTCCTCGAATAAATAAAAGTGTTGAGTCTAGTTTTGATTTAGTTCACACTGATGTGTGGGGTCCTTGTCCTGTCGTTTCCAAACTTGGTCATCGTTATTTTGTTACATTTGTGGATGATTTTTCACGGGTTACTTGGCTTTATCCTTTGAAATCCAGTTCAGATGTGTTTACTGCATTTTGTACC